ATTAAGTGTCGAACACTGATGCATTCTATATATTTGCTATTATTTCTGTACTGGAACAGTTGCAAAGGCACAACCTAAACGATGCCGCGGGCGTACCGTTTTGCCATAGCGCCGCCGCTGGCAGTTGAAATCAATTTATAAACTTGCTAACATTACGGCGCGTGATGTATGAAACCTAAACCAAGTTCTGTTAATGTCAAACAGAGCAAAAAGCACCAGCCGATCAGTGCAACAAACACGTGACTTGCAGTTAAAGTTAAAATCGTGAGGCGCATGTAACAGATATTTGTGTTCAACAATAATGGCTTATCAGCTACAAAATGAGCTGATTCATATCTTCGTTATTTACCATTACCTGCACACGGTTTTCGAGGTATCTGATAATATCTTAGTCCAGGACCTTTGTCATGAGAAGCTAAAAAACGACAAAATTTGAGCGTCTTTATGCCTAAAGCTCTTCTTAGAGGGTGATAGAAGGTACCTCTCATATTGGGCTCAAAAGAAAAAGCCTTTAGAAATTAATGATTGTCTACGCTGTTCTATATACACTAGGGGAGTCCAACATCTAACCGTTTCCAGGGTAGCACTTAGAAAATATAATACATGCCTATCTAGAATCAGAAAACTAAAGATGTATGACAGCTTGGTTCACTATAAGGTGATATCCTATCATACACATAATATGGGCGATGGAGTCCAACCAACATATTTGTTCTTTTCCTACTATACTTGAACGGAATATTGCTCCTATTACTTAACCTAGGCTGTCGGCTTATTCATTCTTGTTTATAAATAAACTTCGAAATAAAAAAGACGTTTATTTTAAAAATAAATGAATAACCCTGATAATAATAAAACTCGACAACAATAAACATTACATTTGATACAACTTTCGTGGTTATTTCTAAATCTATGAGGACATAACATTGAGGAAAAATATTAATATAATAGATGCTATACCATATAACCTAAATGAGTTGTTCAAAGTGACCACCTCTGGATTCAGTACAAAAAAAATTGAGAAAAAAAGGCTGATAATTTCAGAACTGAATAAATAAGAATTTTATACCAATTGACTGGTTCCACAAATACTAGTTTTGATTTTAGAAAAACTGAAGAATCAAACGTGGGTATTAGCAGGAAAATATACTATGAAGACCTGTGACGTTCATAGATAAGGTTTAATGAATGGTAAGTTTCAACGCCACTATTGAGTACAAGACACTTTTCTAGGTCCCTGACTTAGTTTGGTCCGGAAAACTGTGTGTTTATTGCTGATGATGTGTTTACTGAACGTCTGAAATCCTAACTCAATATCGTTACCCGCTCCTTAGATATATTTTTTTTAATTTCGTAAATGAAACATTGTCATCCTGTATCTCGGTAGGATCCATATTTATAGTCACTTTTTTGTTATTTTTGTATGTACTTTCCACCCTTGAAATATTGGCATGTTTTTCTGAAACACCCTGTATATGAGGGGAAGGGTATTAAACAGGTTGCAAAGTGCCCCTCATTATGTTAACCTGCTGCGATCAAGTATATCCAAAATCCTCTTTTGGATTGCCCTAAAATCCCTGGTCTATTAGACTGATTGTAGCACGTTGCACGAAATATAAATTGAAAACAGGACCGATTGTATTTGATATTGCTCTTACTATTCAACGTGCACTATGGCTAAACTTCCAGTGACCCTTACAATATGTATAGCTTTCTTGAGTAAGTATTTACAGCTACTTAGTTTCTATAAAGAGTGAACCAGTAGCTATTTTTTTGCACCTAACAATATTGGGTTCCTCAATAGATCCTTATTATCTTGTTTGCTTTCCGTCATTTGTCTCCAGATGACTAGACTGGCTAGATGGCTACACCATACTGGTGATTGCCAAAAAGCATGAAACAACGTTGTATACGATTGGTTACAGTCGAGAGTTGAAAACCAAGCAGATCCTGTTAAATACTTTATAATGTTTTGTTTTGGCAAATTATTCAGATCTATCGTCTGCAAATAAATTCGGTGCAAGAATTAGAGGTGGTGATGAGGCCAAAATAGAAGACTATCCATATCAGGTGGCACTGTGGTACAATGGTCAGTGGGGAAAATGTGGAGGTTCTATCATTTCACCAAATTGGATACTAACCGCCGCACACTGTGTCTTCCTGTAAGTTTTCGGGATCAATGGGAAAAAATACATTTCACCTGGTACCAAAAATATATATCACGTAGGCACAAAGAAGAAAAAGTAATGGATCTAATGAAATTGGTCGAGTGTTTGAAAAATATCTCTAGAATTTATGCGATTTAGGTGAGATGAGCTCCAAATTCCCATACTAAATCATATATCATCTGGTTAGGGTACAAAAACTCTTGAGCTCTGCTCGCAGCAAGGGTCAAACCCAGACAATGCTCTAGATTGATATGACAGCAATTACTGTGCATTTTAATGAATATTGCCGAGATTTTATGCTCCGTAAAATCAAGGAAACCTAACCAGAATCTAATCAGGTCCTGCACCTCGACCAGATCAAGCGCAAACACATACGATACTCAATCCAGGCGCTGGCCGCGTTTGTAAACAAAGCCTTTATACATCGGACAACAAAAATGGCACACCCTTACAGCAATATCGGAGTTCATATCATTCTAATTTACGGTGAGTGACTTCGAAATGCTACCGAAGCTTCGCGAGCGCATACAGATCGTTTTTAAAGACCATTTGGGATTTCTTTTTTGTTTGGAGCAAAATTGAATGTTTAGTGTATAACACTGAGGTGAACTCGGTTGACGAACTACCTGTGCAAATTTAAGAATCTGCTGCGTTCATTCGGGAAAGGCAGCCCATTCTAAGAACCTACACCAATGCTTGGCTATTTCGAGCACATAAATTTCTTTTTGACGAACGGTGAGTACGTTTCCATTTTTTTTTATTTTTTCGCTGTATCAAAAAATTGTTTTTTGTAGCTAAACCAGGTGTTATCAGGTATTTATTGATTCAATATGGGAATTAGGGGCCCGTCTTACACAAATCATATAAGTTTTCCCTACTTTGGAAAATATTTCACAAGTAATCGACCAAATTTATTAAATCCATTACTCCTTCTCATTGACCAACTTTGTGCCTTAGGCGCAAATTTTGATCTCCATTGTTGCTCACGCGCACTCCATAAGTGCTCCCCAATAATGACTCACGTCTTAAACTAGGTATACAGGGTGTTTCAAATTCGACCCTCACCATCAGGATCTTCGAAACGGTAAGAGATACGAAGTCGCTTAAATTCAAAGTATACTAAGTGACATAAAATGCAACACCCAGAATTATTTATTGAATTTTGATAAAAACCTGTTAACAAGTTTGCTATCTTGGAAGTATACGCTGATAAAATGTTGAAGGCATTCAGAGTCGTACTTTTCTTGTAAAGGCTTTCTTGTGATATCAGGATCCAAAGTCTAGGAACATGCTTACTTAATATTCAGTGACTTTCTATGTTTGTTCCGTTTGTTTAATTGCTGTTTCATGCCTAGAGTTCGCAGACGCGCTAATTTCACTCAACTTGCCGAGTTTTATGGCCGTGCAAGAGTAATTAGGGGAGATGGTGAAAATATTCCAGCGAACAGCATATTCATCGCACTGTGGATGTTATGGTATGGGGTGCCATTGCTTACGGCAGCAGGTCAAGATTAGTATTCATTCGAGGTAGCATGACTGCCCAGCGCTATATCCATATGTTCTACAACCACATCTGCGTCCCTTTTTGTAAACATTGCAAGATCTCCTTTTTCAGCAGGACAATGCATGGTCTCATGTCGCACGTGTTAGTTTAGACTTTTTAGAAGCGTCCGGAGTAAATCTGCTTCAGTAGCCTCCTCAATCTCCAGACCTTTCCCCCATCGAACATGTATGGGACATTATGGGGAGAAGGTTGTAAAAATCACCGCACCCTCCACAAACATTGGAGGTTCTACGAAACCAAATTCAGATGACCTGGGATTCAATACGCCAAGAAGACATCAATCAGCTTATTCAATCAATGCCGCGAGGGCTTAACGAATATGTAGCAAACAGTAGAGTTTCAACACATTAATAACATTAAGGTGGAATATCTCAACTATTTTTCGTAATTTCGAGTTAAAATTTTACTCACTTTCTATTTATCAGTAAACCTAAAGCTTGCAAAAGTATGCTCAAAATTACAGGACTCCTAGTAGGTGTTGCATTTTATATATCATTCCATATATTTCCATATATGGACATTGCCAAACCTTAGTTATTCAAAAGAAAAACAGAATTTCCTAGGTAGGCTTTGAAATTATCAGATAATAATTTGTCTCGTATACCACATTTATCGCAGAATCATAATAAACTGATCACTGAACAATGTACAGAGAAGAGTCAGGCTTTGCCTGCAAAATAACGGACCACATTGTGAATATCTGCTATAATTTACCTCCGCTTAGTTATGATTATTATTGTTATTACCATATTACAAGATGGCGTAGTTAAATTTTCAATTCGAGGTGTCTTCTTTCGACTTCCATATCCAACTTCGCCTTTTTATATGGATGTTATATTGGAATTTTGTACATTTAAATGGAGTTTTCAGTCCTAGACTCTATGATGTATTTCCTTAGTTGACCATAAATTTGTTGTTGGAAAGAAAGTTCTAACAAAATAAAAAAGGTCTTGTGTAACCTGCACACGAAATGAAAATGTTATTGATGGTAATAACGATAATATTTAAATAAGCAGAGGTGAATCATAGCAGATATTCACAATGTTGCCTGTTATTTGGTAGGCAAAGTCTGAGTCTTCTGTGTACATTGTTCAGCGCTCAGTTTATTATAATTTTGCGATAAATCTGGTATACGAAACAAATGACTACCTGATAATTCTAAGGCCTACCTAAGAAATTCGTTTTTTTAAATAACTAAGTTTTGGCTTTATCAATAAACTCAATTTATCTGTGCAAGAATCCAATATGGCATCTATAGGAAAAAAAGAAGTAGATGCTGGAGGGCAAAAGATGAAATGTCATGTTTAAATTCTAATTATGCCATTTTGTAGAGGGGCAATGTTAGTGTGCAATTTATTTTAAAATCCCCCTACGAATAAAGGCAGATGAAAAAACAAAACAATTTTGGGAAAATTCGTTTTTTTCTGTCTCTCTCCAGAAGTACTTTGAATTTCGAAACCTACTAAGCGGCGTTATATAATTACCCAAACACGCCTATTAAAGCGACTTCGTATTTTTTACCTTTTTCTAGATCCTAGATCCTAATGTTGCGGATCGTATTCGAAACATCCGGTATAAAGTACTACTTATTCTGTTATAGAAACAGAAATAAGCCCGAGCTCATGCAAGTACTTGGAAACTCAGCCAAGTTCGATTCAAAGTCAGGAGTCCTTGTATCTGTAAAGCAGATAATCTGTCACGACAAGTGGGATCCTGAACGTAGTCTCGATTATGACATCGCTCTCCTAGAATTATCTGAGCCGATAAAATGCCCTAATTGTAAACCTATTCAGCTAGACACAGAAGGCCCGAAAGCCAATGAAAAAGCTGTCATAACTGGTTGGGGTTTGGTAAATGAAACAACTAGTAAGTAGAAAAAACATGTTTTCGTTATCGGATAAATAAAATATATTGTCAAAACGTTTCAACTGAGCTTGAAGAAGGTCACCATTGGGACCGAAACGTCGTTCAACGAAGAGTTTTAAACATATTGATTCGGCCAGACAAGCTGGGGAATTTGACTTCATACCGATCAAAATCTGCGAGTTCTATTTTTTACTTCCCGCTCCACTGGTCGTATAATTTTTGAGATGATTAATCCGTTTTACTTCCCAAGCCTACTAGCGGATAATGCCATTTTCCTGGTTACCCAATTATGCAACTTTGCTGCTCCTACTTAACCTACCTCTTACCGTTTCCGAGATCCCAATGATGAGAGTCGAATTTCAAACACCCGGTTACAGGGTGTCTCAACGAAAATGGAAAGAAGTTTAATGAGCAAACTGGAAAAGGTATCAAAAAATGTTTTTGTGCAACCTTGATATGTTACTAAGCATATCTTTAAATTATTTTAATATATACAGGGTATTCCATAACTTTGTGCCATAGCAAACATTTTCCTAATAGATCACTATGTTTTATTGCGTACTTGAATAGAGCTTCCAAAAACATGTAATATATGGTTCTGATTGTCAATTGTTTAGATTGTTTCAATGATTGAAGGCATGCAACGTAATGCTATTGAGTATTTTTACCTGAAATGTACTGGTTCTTATCCACAAAGAGGTTTCTGTCATCATAGCCTCTTGAATGTTTTCGATTTGGATTCACTATCAATTAGACTTAATATCCTTACCTTGTCGTTTTTATATGTCCTTATTCACAATCAAATTGACTGTCCGGATCCACTTGAAAATATATATCTTCGTATTCCAAGACTTAAAAATCGTCAACAATCAGCCTTTTATTGTCTAGCAGACCAGACGACCGTAATATTTAAATCTCCAATTCATGTAATGTGCAGTCTGTTTGTGATATGTGTAATATTTATAATGTCAGCTGTGAATCAATCATAAAGTGCTGTAAGTCATCGATTGTTGACTGAGCTTACTTAAGCCAATTGATGTTAAGTCTAAGTTTTCAATGTGTCTCTTAATTTGTTCTTGTTAATGTATTTGAGCTTTTCCTTTAATTAACCTGTAGGAAATATGAAATATAAAGTAAAATAAGATATTTGTTCAAAGTTATTAAAAAATTCCTTTGGCGGCTCGCAGCTCCGTCACTTTTGAAGACATCTAGATAAATCTGAGTTAACAGAAATTTTATAATCATCATTATGTTGCCAAAAAAACAAGTTGAAGAAATTATTTTTTCTAGGTGTAACACAACCGATGTCACTGAGTATAATTGGATAGGGAGAGGCGGACCGATCAATTGGCCAGAGAGATCTCTTGATCTGGCGCCTCTCGATTTCTTTCTTTGGGGCCATGTAAAAGATGAGGTTTGCTAGGAGAAACCCACAACACCCGGGGACATGAAACCTCGTATAAGCGAGTCGTTTAAGTTGATTTCACATAATAATTGCCTGAGGCTGAGATTATTTTTTGTGTGTAAAAAAAATATTGTTTTGATAGAAGGTTTGATTTCACGTTTGAATACAAGATGTATTTACTTTTCCTTTAAATTTATAGTAATAACTCAAAAACTGTTCGAAAAAAGTGGTATAGACCTTAGGTATATAAAAAAAAGTTCCCAAAGTAAGCTAGTTAATGATGTAGAAATATACCAGATATTTCATTTCAAATGTATAATAAAAGGAACATCTTGCGTTTTGAAATACCGTGTATTAATAGAAAGATATTTTAGCTTTTCTTTCAGATCAGCTTAAAAACGGTGATAATAAGGTTTTTGTGAACTAAAATTTATCTTCAAAAATGATTCCACTAAATATCCAAGCAATAGAAACCATCTGTCTTATGATATCAAGCTTCTTGTTTTTAGAAGCTCTATACAAATATGCAAAAAATGTCTTATTTAAAAAATGTTTGCTATGGCTGTGAAGCACCCTGTATATATTATATTGTAGCATTTTTCTGGGTTCTTTTGGGTGTGGATTAAACACTGGATTCCACAAAAAGAAATGCACAAATTTATTTAACTTGATAGAACATTTATATACACCACTATTTATGTCTGACTAATTCTTATATCGCCATGGACTGCACTAGACTCCACTCCGCTCTGCTGAGAGGTGTAATCTGTACTCTTCCCATCTCCCGGCCGCCGAGTTATATATAATCCCCATTGCTGCTTCGAGAAAGATCTGGTGAATCACAAAGCAACATCTAGAATATTGGAGGTCACTTCGCGTCGATCTAGAAGGCGATCAACTGTCACTCGGCTTGTGCGGTCGAGGTTCGCGTAAAAGCAGAGATCGGACATGAAGCTCTGGCGAGTAGGAGACTCGCCCAACAGATGGCGCCAACAGTACTATTAGTCACAATATATTAAAATAACATTATAGCATGCACTAGTAGCATATCAAGATTGTCACAAAAGCAATTTTTTAGATATTTTCCGGTTTGGTCATAGAACTGCTTTCTATTTTTGTTGGGACTCCCTGTATATATAGACTGAAAGTCATAAGAGTAGATATTCTTTTCAGGGTACAGGGTTTTTAATGCATTTCCCTAAAAACTCGACTATAAAAGTTTTTCTAAAATATCTTTCACTTATTCCATAGTTGCCCAAGTTCTGCAGGGGGCGACTGTCTTAGTCATAGAACAGACTATTTGTCAGGAATGGTTGTCACTATTACCTGGGATGCTGACAGAAAGGATGTTTTGTGCAGGTTATCCAGACGGAGGTATGGGTACTTGTTCTGGAGACTCTGGTGGTCCAGTTGCAGTGAACGGGAAACTTTCAGGAATAACTTCGTGGGGTACATCATCTTGTTATGCTAAACCGAAGTCTCCGGGAGTTTATTCCAAAGTTTCAGCTTACTATGATTGGATTCAGCGTTACACTGGAATTACTTTCTGATCCCGTCAGATGACTCAACGAAGATGGAAGTCTTGTGTAATATCTGTTTATAAAAGTAAATAATTGTCTACTTGCTTGCTTTTCATCAGTTCATATAACCTCTATTCGATTTTATTCTACTCATGCAATCGATCTGCAAATCCTGCAGAGCCCTCCCTGACCGAAATGCCTTTGTAACATCTTCGTCATCGGTGAGCAGACTATTCAAATGAAGTATATGGAAACTCCACAATTGAATTCAATTCAAGTAATAAAGTCTTGGCAATCGGTTACCTTGAAACATTCTTCAATTTTTAAAATATTATGTTTCGGCAACAATTATCGCAACAAGAATGCCTTGCTGAGTTACTGTCTGTTTTCGGCAACGAAGCGCCACATCAGTCGACAATTTCCCGTTGGTATGGAGAATTCAAACGTGGACGGGTGAGTCTTAGCGACGATCCCAGGGTAGGTGCACCAAAAACGGTAGTCACCCAGGAACACGTCGATGCTGTGCGCAAACTCATCATTGAAGATAGACATGTGAGATATCGCGAGATTGAGGCGTCCTTGAAGATCTCACCAAAAGCGGGTCATATTGCAACAATTCCTCTTAATGAGCAAAGAACTGTTACTGCGGATTGGTATACCACCATTTGCTTGCCAAAAGTCGTCACCGAGCTTCGAAAAATCAACCCCGAAAGAAGAACCATCCTCCACCAAGACAAGGCAAGCTCGCACACAGCCCATAAAACAGGGCAGTATTTAACGGAAGAAAACGTGGAATTATTGGACCATCCTCCATAGAGTCTTACCGATTTCTTTACTTTCCAGAAAATTAAAAACAGACTGCGTGGTCAAAGGTTCCAATCACCATTCAAAAATGCCATTTTGGATCTGCCAGCAAACGAGTGGAATAAGTGCTTCTAAAATTGGTCGAGCGCATGCAGATGTGTATTAATCTTGGTGGAGAATACTTCGAAAAACAGTAAAGTCATTTAAAACTACCTACCGTGTTGTTTTATTTCCATATGCAAAACATAAAAGACATCCCTCGTACTTGGCAAAAATAATTACTTTTCTGAAAGATAGATTTTGACAGCTTGAATGTAGGTAAACGACTGGCGATAAATATTTGCTAATAAAAATGAAATCAAAACAAAGATAAAAAATATATACATGAATAACATAACTCTTCACATTGTGTGGCTGGGAGAATGCAACCGCTACGTTATTTTCATTTAATTTTCATAGATACTTCATAGATTATTTGTATCAGTTCTATAATTTATACTGGTAGTGTCTTTACATATATACGAGGTGGTTCAATAAGTACCCGTGTTAGCAATGAAGACACCTTTTTTTCCAAAAAAAAAATCTTTTTATTTTTCAACATAATCCCCTTTTTGAAAGATACACTTTTCCCAACGTTCCTGCCATTTTCTTAACCCTCCGAAAAATAGGACTTGTCGAGCTCTCCAAAATACGCCTCTGTCTCGACGGTGACTTACTCGTTTGAGCCATGTTTTCCCCGCGAGCCATTTCTTCATGTCAGGGAACAAGAAAAAGTCGCAGAGGGCCAGATCGAGTGCGGCAGCACTTCATACCGCAACTTATGTAGTTTGGAGGCGACAACTCCAGATGAATGTGCTGGTGCGTTATCGTGGTGAAACAGCACCTTCTTTTTCGTCAAATGTGGCCGTGTCTCCTTCATTTTTTTGTCGAAGCGGTCCAATAACTCACCATAGTATTGTCCAGTGATCGTTCGACCTTTTTCTAAAAAATACACGAGGATGACGCCGTTCGCATTCCAAAAAATCGTCGCCATGGCCTTTCCTGCCGATGGGACCGTCTTCACCTTCTTTGGAGCAGATTCACCAGGATAAATCCATTGTTTTGATTGTTGCTTAGTTTATGGTATGTAATGATGAATCCAGGTTTCATCGACGGTGACAACTCGGTGCAAGAACTCATTCGGATTTCGCTTAAACTGCTCCAAACACTGCTTCGAAGTTAACAGCCGCATCCGCTTGTTGTCCACCGTGAGCAATCGCGGCACCCAACGGTCAGACAATTTTTTCATAGCCAACTTATCATGCAAAATATTGACTGCAGTTCCGGTCGACACACCTACGGCCTCTGTTACTTCCCGCACTTTCGTTCGTCGATCAGCGAGTATCATGTCGTGGACTTTTTGAATGTTTTCCTCGGTAACCACATCTGCCGGGGACCTGGTCGATACTCATCAAAAACAGAGGTTCGTCCACGTTTAAATTCGTTGAACCAATATCTAACTGTAGTCATGGATGGCAAAGTGTCCTCATAAACAGCATCTAACTTTGCCTTTATCCCGTCGCATTTTTCCCATCCAAAAGCAAAAAGCGAATTACCGAACGATACTGCTCTTTTTTCATCTTAGCAAAAGTCACGAAGCACGTGTTACTCGAATGGCTGCCAAATCCAAACTAACCTATCAATCAGACTGAAATTTGTTGTGCCGTCGTCTGATAGATGGCAACACACGATGATAACATTAACTTCGCTAAGGAATGCCCTGTGTCGTGAAACACGGGTACTTACTGAACCGCCCTCATATATATATATATATATATATATATATATAGGTGAAAAATTAAAGCTTCCGCCTTTTGTTGGGTACTTTGACAAAATTTAAGCAAAGAAGTCTCTTTATACTTTTTTTAATTCTCTCTAGCTTTCAATGGACTTTGCCATCATCATCAGGAGCTGCAATTACATTGATAACAGTAGCAACAATAGTGTAAAATGAATTTAAATTGACTTAACTTACAGTAGTATGTGAGGATGTTGCTAATTGTTGTTTACGTTCAGGATGAGGGAAACGCCCAGTAACATGGTGAAAGCTTTAATTTTTCACCTAACTGGTCTAAACGACAATGAACACGTCTCAAGTTATATATATATATGAGGGCATATACATATATAATTTCGAGGATGTTTCTTTTGGAATAGACCGACGTCATTTGTGAAATCAGATTTATGCCGATTGAAAATTACATGTTTGGCTGGCCTTATACAGGGTATTTCAGGAAGGCGTGTGAATATTTTTAGGGTAGGAAGTATTTTTACATCCGAAAATAACAAGTTGGTTCCGATGAACATGGGTCCGAAGGTGTTTCCCTGCCGAGAGGGTAAATTATCATACCTTAAATATCAGAGACACTCGGGGCATATACAGGGTGCGGCAGAGAGGATGGACGGTTTTTAAAAAATCAGAAAATAGTTAAGTTTTACTCCAAAACAATTTTATTGATGGAATCAGGTTCACAAGGAAATAGCATTTGAGACAGTCAAGTGTGGAAAATCACATCAGGCATGTGGTGGCCGAAATCGTTGATGCAGTGCTAGAGGCGTCTCGGAAGTTCGCGTAGACTCCCTCCGACATCGCTCTCTCAACTTGGGCGACTTCCACGTGAATTTCGCCCTTCAATTCGCCCAGAGTTCGGGGCTTGTTCGCGTATACTCTAGCCTTGAAGTGTCCCCATAAGAAAAAATCGCATATGGATAAATCTGGGGACCGCGGAGGCCAATGAACATCGCCAAACCTGGAAATAAGGCGACCAGGGAAGAGAGGGCGAATAACGTCCATGGATGCTGTGTGGGCGGTCGCCCCATCCTGCTGGAGCCATACAAGTCGGATTGGAACACGTCGCCGTCGTAATTCAGGGAGAAAGAAGTTGGTGATCATGCCGACGTAGTGCTCTGAGTTCACGGTAACAACACGACCATTACCGTCTTCGAAGAAGTAAGGGCCAATGATGCAAGTTTGCGATACAGCCCACCAAACCGTTACTTTTGGGCTGTGCAGCGGTCTTTCGTGTAACTGTTGCGGATTTTCATTAGCCCAATAACGACAATTCTGCTGGTTAACCATGCTGTTTAGGTGAAAATGGGCTTCGTCACGCATAAACAAATTGAGGTTCTCATTTTGATCGATCAGTGCTTCCATCTCACGTGCGAAGTTCATTCGTTGTGCATAATCTCCGGGCTGTCTCTATTGCAGAATGGCCAATTTGTAGGGGTGAAAGCGGAGATCCATATGCAAGATTCGCCTTACCGAACGATCACTAAGGCGAAGTGCAGCAGAATGTTTCCGGGCAGATCGAGTCGGACTGCGAAGAAAGACCTGTCGAACGCGTTCAACATTTTCAGGAGTTCGAACTGTTCGCGGCGCTCGTCTTGGTCTTCTGTTGATCAGTTCACCACGCCTGCGAAGTGATTTAACCCAACGAAGGATGGTGTTTCGAGAGGGAACAGCTCTATTCTGATGAATGTTGAAGTGGCGACGAAACTCACGCTGTAGGACGATGACTGACTCATTATTTCGGACGAAACAATCATAGGCGAAAACGCGGTGCTCCACCATCCAAGGCTCCATAACGACAACTGGTAAAATAATGCTAGGATCTCACGAGTCAAACGGCACCCTCCCCACCTCTCTCGTAGACGGAGGCGGAGAGTACTACCCATCCCAAAAACGTCCGTCTTCTCTGCCGCACCCTGTACAATATCATTATATAACTATTTTTTTTTTCATGTTTTTAGCAACCTGTAGACTACAGATCCCATCACATCCAAAAATAACAAAGAGTCTCTATTAGTATGGGTCCAGAGCTGCTCCCCTGTATATTGTTTAGTTTGTCCTAATGAACTTGGACAACCTTTGCATGATACTTTGTAAATCAAGCTGCTTAGCAGGTCTTTTTCGATTGGAGGCTTTAGGTGTGCTGGGCAACTCCCTGACTTAGCGACCGAATTGGCGGTGTCGCTAATTGCAAGCCGTGTCCACACTGCCGTCAACGTATAATCTGGCGACCGGCACGGGTATCACGTATCTTGAAAAGTAACATTTTGTCGTTTTTTGCCATTGTGCATCTTGCAGTTAGAGAGGAAATCAGCCATCCAACTGCAAAGCTTCTCTGCGAGGCCAGAGGATGGAAGTTTGCATAAGAGGGCATCATGGCAAAGCTGATCGAACGCTTTCGTGATATCAAGTACGAGAACATGAGCCTCACTATAAGACGGAATGAGCTTACTCCACAGTTGCGTGACGTAAGTTGGGCGGTCTCCAGTGGATCGGGGTACAGGAAACCCTACTGGCTGCCGCTAGTCATGCCGCGACGTTCAAGATACTCCAGACTCTCGATTTATGCATCTCTTCATCACCTTACTTATACCAGAAAGCAGAGCTATAGGCTTGCAGCTGTACGGTTTGATATTGAATGTTTTTTTTTGGGATTGGCTGAGCATGAGCAAATTTCCAGTTTTATGGGAAAGTGCCGTTTTCGTAAGATATCTGAAAAGACCTGAAAGAACTGGAGCTTGGCTACCTTCGGAGTAAGCATGGCTCAAGTCTGATATAAAAAACAAGCTTATAATGTAACGTCATATACCACCCTCTGCAGAAAGCGTCGTGGCAAATCCTCTAATATCGATTAGTCAAGTTTTATACCGCTCCGACCACAACTAAGGAAGAGATACATCAGATATGCTCGACTGTCGTTTTCAGGTTTCAGAAATACAGGAAGTTAAATTGTTTGCTAGTCATGCCAGCGACAATACATCATCTTGTGAAACAGTATATTGCGCTTGGGTAAATTCTCGACATGCCCCGGTGTCCTCCGGATCTGTGGCGACGCACAGAGAGCATTGATAACGTCCAGACGTCTGTTTAGTCTCTCTTTTAACCATTCTTGTAATATTTGTTATCCAATACTGGAATAAAACTAAGTCGGTCCCCTACTATAAGAAACCTGCTACCAATCATATAGCAAGGGCAAATATACAAGAAAAGGTTGTTATAATGCATTGGCCTGCATTTGTCGTTGTTTACGCGAAATTTAAATTAAAAACTGTTAAACTTATGTATATGAGCAAAAAACATGAACATGAACTATCTTGCGTAGAATGCAAAACACAAAAATTTACAGCATGTTCTATTTAAAATAATCAAGTTGGTATTTACTTCCGAATATACAGGGTGATTTCAAAGTTGAGTCATTTATATTAACAGCTTGTTTTACATTATTAAAAATTATTTAAAAAAATTATCCAGTTAAACGGATGCCGTTTTGACAAAAACTGTTCAAAACTGTCCCCATTTGTTCGATTAACTCAAAATCACACGCATTTTCAGTGTGACGTGAAGTTCTTCCAGTGCATTTACTGTTCCATCATGATTTCAAACAGCAAAAAAAATCGCAAGGCGTTAAGCCTGGGAGCGAGCAGACCAAGAAATGTGTTTATTACGCCCTATCCATCTACTCTGAAACTCATTATTTAGATATCCATGGACTTCTCGACTAAAATGTGGTAGAGCTCCATCATATAGGAACTACATAATCTGTCTCACATTTAGAGGAACGACTTCGAATAATTGTAGCAGATTATGTTGAAGAAAATCTAAATATACTTCACCGGTCAGTCGAGGTGAAAAAAGTAAGTCTCAAAATGTGCTCTTTTTACAGCATGCGGTTTTATACTTTCAAACATGATTGTTTTAGAAATTGTGTAAATGGCCTCGTCTGCACACAAAATTAATTTCGTAAAATCTTCTGCTGAGCAGTTCTAAAAGCTACTGTCAAAATGCAATTCTTCTAGGATGATCTTCAGGTTCTAGTACTTTACTACGAGAAACTTCAACTTGAACTGCTATGGCTCTAGTACTCATAAGTGTGTCGACCATTCTGAAATGTCTTTCTCAGATTGTAACATTTAAAGTTGAGGAGGTCTTAAAGCGTGACCTCCTCGTTGTTCTTTTAATTATTCCGTGCCACAAAGTCTACTAATTAAATTTACAAACATCCGAGGAGCCGGATGATTTCTTTCCGCATCCAACCAGCATGCTTCTTTCCGTATGTTAGTTTTATGTCCACTAGATCATTGTTTTTGTTACCATGGGTCATTTTCTTGCACAAAATAATCAGACTAATAAAAGTATACGCGCTGTTAAAAGACTGATACAACTGGTCGAACCACAGACTTGTACTGAAAGCCATACAATAACACAAACATTTACCAAATTTAGATAAACGATAAGATTAGTCAACAAAAAACGGTGCGACTTAACACGAAAGTGGTTGAAAATATCATAAAAATCTGTGTTATAACTTTCTTAATTTTTAAAATTATTAATCTTTTAATAGTTTGTTTATCATGCAACTTTTATATAGGTGATTTTTGGTATATCAACTCCTTTTGGCGAGTCCTAGAGCAGTTAAAATAAGTGACTCAACTTTGAAAACACCCTATATATTCACATGTTTATATTAAAGCAACTTTTTGAGTAATCGGTTGCTGCAGTTCTACGTGGGACACCCTGTATATGATCAGATATGTGATAAGCATCCATCAAATGAAATTGCTATCTGTCATTGGGAAGAACCACTAGACAATCAAATTACCGAATAGGCGTACAAAGTACACACAACGTGCATATCCGAATTTGCAAACTGAGTGGAGGTCGAGGCATGGATTGTGATTGGTTCATGCGTTGCAAATTATTGAAACGTTCTGGCTGCGTAAGCCTGAGCCTGAACAGGTACGCTGTATAATAGATATTAATCGTATGATATGCCCACATATTGACACGGTTTTGATAGAGAGACGAATGAGAGTCAATAAAGCACATATGGGTGCTGGATTGATAAATTAATCCCTTTCGGTGGCAGACAAATTTAATTCCAGAAATGCGTACGTTTTCGATTTGTGGCTTTTTGAAATATCAGTTGTGGGGAAAATTTCATTATGAATCAGGCTCGAAATAAAATCAAGGCGAACGTCTCTGGACTTTCCACATACAATGCAAAGTTATTTAAAAAATAATGGAAATATTTCTACAGCAAAAACTACATCCAAGAATAACTCATAGGTAACTATAAGCATGTCTTCTAAAATGCATCTTCGGCAAGATGCAGTTAATACAGTGTTTTTTTTTTAGTTCTTACCAATTATCAAAAATAGTAGAATAGATTACATCAAGGCTGCCTGTAATTAAATTCAGGGTGAGTTTTTAGTGTGGGTTAGGTCGAGGAATCTGTTGTTGCGCATAATATCTAAAAAAGTTTATTACAAAAATTGTATGCTCTTTATTTGAAAAGCAGGTTTATCTCTACAGGGTGATTCATAACTATGCAGTGAGCTTAACACCTATTTCTTTAAAAGGAAATCATTACATTTTATTGCAGATTTGAATACACCCTTTCAAAGGAAGCACTTTAATATAAAATACTATAGGGTTCTATTTCCAACATTGACAACTCACATAAGCAACTGTTATAGCTAGATACTAAATTATCCGTTGAATAATTTTATGATTTCATATTTTGTTTCTTTCTACCTGCTTTTTCAGTTTCTTGGGTAGTTTATACAAGGTAGTCAAGAAGAAAAAATTGACTATTGCACGAAATATTCAAATAGAACACCCTGTATATTTTAACACTTTTTGATTTCAGTTTCCATAAGATTTTTTCTGATATAAGGCTTACGGATGTTTGAATGACTAGTTTTTGCTAAAAACATAACGACACCTTCTGTAATTTGTAACGAAGGTACGCCAATCCAACAGTCGGCTGTTACCAACTAAATGCTGTTTTGTTAGCTTGAAAGGTATTGTAATTGTTTATTCGCCTTAATATCTCAATTACAAACAAGTTAGCTGTAATACATAAGCCGGTCGTACAAAACTCCAAAAGCCTTCTATAAAAAAGCTTGTTGTAAGGGTAGTGAAGTGTGAATTTTCGAGAAACTGGTCATTTGTCGTTATTAACTATCCTGTATAAACTGTTAAAAAAACATAAAAAGTGGGCAAGAACAAAATATAGCGTCATAAAATGTTTCTAACGGAAAATTACATATATAACAACTGCGAAGGTACGAGTTGTCAAAATTTAGTATTATATTCGATAGATTGTCAATTATCTCAACCATTTGGAAGTAGGGAGTATGTTATATTAAATCGCTTGGTTTGGAAATGTATATCCAAATGTTTAATCAAATGTAATGCATGTTTGGGTCACCGCATAGTTATGAATCACGCTGTAGAGATGAAAAATATGACAAGTAAGGAGCATACTGTACAATTTCTGTAATTAACTTTTTTAGACACTGTCTGTGCAATAGGGTAGTTATCTAGAACCCCCATTAAAAACTCACCTTGTATTTAATTACTGGTAATTGCAGCTCTATTTTGCCAGGCAACCCTGCTGTAATCTATTATACTATTATTTATGATTCATGAAAATCAAGTCTTGTAAAAAAGACAGTTACCTGCAGATTCGAGCGGCAGGATCTTTTGCTATAAGCCATATCAAGCTTCCTTTTTTGGAGGTCTACCTGAATGTTCAACAAAATATGAGACATTCTTATTATAAAAAAATAACAGACTGCTAATTTTTTGGAATGTAACGGTCCATATTCAATTACGTATTCGATTAGATGCTAGCAAAAGTCGAAGACTGATTTTGTTGAGGTATGAGGTCTATAAATTAAGTGCAAAGACTGGCAACGTAGCATTCTATCTGGCAACACTGGAGGTGCTGAGCTTGGAAGACAGGGCAAAATGTGATCTGCCTTCAGTACAAGTTTGAACTCGCTCGAGTCATTTGGTTGTCCGTAGCGGTGTTTTTATGAAACAGTTTTTTTTATTGTGTTCTAAAAATGAGTGACATGAATTTCAAAAAGGTACGCTATCAGCTTTTGCTTCGGACTTAGGCACAGTGCAACAGAAACTCTTCCTAAACAGGTCTTCGGAGATAGTGTTTTGTCAAGAGCCCAGGTTTTTCGGTGGATTAAGGCATTTTCAAAAGGCAGAGAGTCGATTGAAGTTGAGCGACGAAGCGGAAGGCCTTCATCTTCAAGAATCGATGAAAATATCGACAGAATCTGGGATCTTGTGCGTTCGGATAGTTGGTTGATAGTGAGAATGATCGGGGAAGAGTTAAATTTGTCTCACCCCACCGTTCATCGGATCAAGAGCAACTGGGTGTTGCATCACGATGCTCCTTGCCACACAGCAATGTCAATAAACGAGTTTTTGGCCAGTAAAACCATTCCTGTGGCTCCGTATCCGCCTGACTTGAGTCCTGGTGACATTTTTTCTTCTCGAAGTTGAAAATCGCCTCCATTTCGGGATAGACAAAGACATTTAAATGGCTGTAACCGACCAGCTATTTTGAAAGTGACAATATAAAATTTTAATTATACTCGTATTTGAATAAAAAAACAGAAACCCAGTCTCATCACTTAGTTCACAGACCTTGTATAAATGACTCAGTGCATAAAAATGGTCATAATCGACACCCGTGTGAAGTTAGCAGCCAGCTTCTAGCAGCCAATTCTTCCGGGCGTTCGCGCGAAATTAGCAGCTAATTTTCAGCAGCCACTATTTTGTGCCTACTGACATCGTATTTCTAGCTAATTTTAGCAATAGATCGCCTCAAAAAGGGTAGCTTCACCCTTAGTGCAAAAATATTTAGAAAGAGGTATGCGGATTTTCAAAGAAGCTAACAGCATTGTTGAATAATGAAAATAAATTGAGCACATCGTTTATATGTAGACGTAAGAGACAATCATTATTGTTTACCTACTTGACGTAGAGGTACTTTACACCATCAGAATATAGGCAGCACTCGCGACGATTCTGTAGCATTTTGAAGACATTCGCCATAAGTTAACAACATATCAACGAGTTCATTATTGGTGTATGAGTGTGCCATTATTTTTTTTTTTTTGAAACGCAATCGATTATACGGGTTCGTTACCTCTATACGCGTGACCCTTTACCGTCGGTTGAAGGTTGCATACTGACCTGACACACTGACCCCGACCCCCGACCCAGTTCTGTCGTCGGGTTCAGCTAGTAGCCGGTACCAGTTTGGGATATCGCGGCGGATCGCGGCTACAGGACGCTATTCAAATGTTTTTGATGTTGCAGAGCCCTTTATCTCGGTTCCCTTAAGACATTGGTGTATATGGTACTAAGAAAAATTGCTTATGTTTTCAAGATCTACACGTCGTGTAAAGGAAAACCCCAACTTTGCGGACACCCTGTATACATATATATATATATATATAAGGGATGTACCAGTCTATAGAGAAGAATATGCTGAACAAGGACTTGTGCCTCCACGTTCCTTTCTTATCAGTTTCAGTATCGTATTTCATTTGTTCTTTACTTTGGTTTGTACATATATAATGAACTTTGCAGTCAGTCTCGATTCAGAACTCATTCAATTAACATCATTGTATTTGGTTATGCTCAAAAATAAATCTTTTTTAAAAACGTTTTCGTTGAAGAAAGATATTTGAGTTATATATATATAAAGAGAATATGATCATGCGGAGAAAGGTATATAACAACAAGTAGGAAAATAATGGGCAAAATCCGCAAAAAGGAGGAAAGTGGATTCGAGCAGAAAATATGGTAGGTAACCCGAGCGATACGTATTTCTGCTGGTTGGCTTCATCAGGCCCGAAATGAATGCACATATGAAACTACAAAAGTAGATACACATACCCACACATAAAATGGCTGTAAGACCTCGAATTTTCAAGGAGACGTCTAACGACAACCACGCGGCCTGTTATACTACAATGTGTAGGTTGGCTCTTGTTGTGGACTTCGTGTGTCGTTTTTTTTCCCCTCCAACTTCGTTTCCTCAGGTTACACCCGTATCCGGATGTGTGGGCATGTGTATCTACTTTTGTAGTTTCATATGTGCATTCATTTCGGGCCTGATGAAGCCAACCAGCAGAAATACGTATCGCTCGGGTTACCTATCCTATTTTCTGCTCGAATCCACTTTCCTCCTTTTTGCGGATTTTGCCCATTATTTTCCTACTTGTTGTTATATACCTTTCTCCGCATGATCATATTCTCTTTGTAGATCCTTTGGGCTTGAAGTACCACAGCAAGTGGCTATAACCGGCCGCATGGTTGTGGTTAGACGTCTCCTTGAAAATTCGAGGTCATATAGCCATTTTATACTACAATGTGTAGGTTGGCTCTTGTTGTGGACTTCGTGTGTCGTTTTTTCCCCTCCAACTTCGTTTCCTCAGGTTACACCCGTATCCGGATGTGTGGGCATGTGTATCTACTTTTGTAGTTTCATATATGCATTCATTTCGGGCCTGATGAAGCCAACCAGCAGAAATACGTATCGCTCGGGTTACCTATCCTATTTTCTGCTCGAATCCACTTTCCTCCTTTTTGCGGATTTTGCCCATTATTTTCCTACTATATATATATATAATCGACAGCCTGTCACCATTTTTAAGAATGTGGCATCAGTCAACCCCCTATTCCAGTTGAAAAAATGTTCCTAAGGCTCGTTTTTCGTGCAACTTGTCTGCTAACCAGAAGTTAATCTTCAAAAAAGAGTTCTTCAATATCAAGTTTGTCCTAAACTGACAGTCAAACCGCAAAGTCTAACCTAATGCGCTTGGCGGTGACATAAGTTGTCATGGATGACAAGAGGCATAAATATCGAATATTTCGAAACGCATAGAACACTTCAATGCAGACACAAAAGCAGCATTGCTGGATCATCGGTAGATTGATTGTTAACTACCACTTGAAAAACGAATTTACAAGCAACTGATGGTTAACGCCAAGTCATAGTTGCATGACTTGAAAGCTTACCAGAGACTGAAAAACCAGGCCTAAATGGCGTCTAGACTCCTTCTTTAGATGTTCAGCTGCCAGTTTGACGATTCATGAATCATTTTTATTATTTCTTTTCTTCCTGAAAAGCACTCTCACTGAATAGAATATGAATATTCTTGAAATTGCCTACCTACAAGATATAAGTTTTGGGGAAATTTTCTTTGACCTTGAACATCCTGGTTTTTGGATTAAAGCAGAAATAAGGGCACAAAAACCAGTAGGAAATATTGGCGGAAATACTTCTCTGGAAATTATGGATGAATTGAACCTCAAAAATGATTAGTCGTCATCTAATCCAATGCTTCTTGTTACAGTTCTGGCCGGTGTGGGAGTAGATCTTGCATTTCACAGACATCAGACGGGATATTACCTCATGTAAGTAAATCAATATCTGCTAATTAATTATAAATTACTATTCGCAACATGTCATAGTTGATAGACAGCTTTTGATATAATCACAGATCTCTTCACTTATTATTTCATTTAACTTAACTTACAACCTTTAGTAGCGTCTAAGTGTCTGACGTAATATGCATGACATTTTACATACTGATATTTGGTTTTTTTCAGAGTTTCTTGTTAGTATTTTTTCTTATGACTTAATAATATTTTCTGTGTTGTATAAAATATATTTTTCACAATGATTCTTGTCATATGCTTACATCTTATTATTTGTTGACAAATTAATTAATCTTTTTCTAAAGAGAAAGTAAAGGCGAATTTTGGACCACATTTCAAATATTCTTGACTTCTCTGGGTGCGTTGAACAATTGTCATCTGTATGACTTTCATGTTAATGTATTAATAGTTAATCCCGATCAACAAAATATATTGCAATCACTACACCCAATAATAAATGTTACGTTTAAAAAATGGCCATACAAGAGGATATTTTCAGCTAATAGATCATTAATATCTTTGCTAAGCTACGGGGGATGCCAACTTGTTGGATTAACGTGTTCTAGCGATAAGCTAATCAATTAATAAAAATTCATTCTGCCCTCTGGTTCAATCAACATCAGCCCACCTGTCCTGTCCAGTCCGTCCGCGTGAATAACGCTGTGAGGGGGTAATCGATCCTTAATTACCACTCCATAATTTCACCAACGTCCTTTGATGACCTTCCACACCGCTATTTACTCGAAAATTCAGAGCTTACCTGTCGATGGGAAATGATCGGTTATCAGTGCTCTTCCATATCAGTGTTTTCTGAAATCTGTTGATGAATTCCAGTGCATTAGACCTCCAGGAAGGCTGAAACGTCAGGAATCAAAGAGCCGATCACCTTTTGCGCACTGTTGGGTAAGTTGAGTGCATATAAGAACCTGGTATCAGTTTTCCGTTAGGTCTGATATACATGTATAATAAAAGGTAACGGTTTTTTAGTAAAGATCAGCCGAAAATTATTCCAAAATCTACCAACTTACAAAATTTACAAAATTTTTAAAAGTTACAAAGTTTACATAAGGGACAAAAGGGACAAAAGGGAAAAGGGACAAAAGGGACAAAAGGACAAAAGGGACCAAAAGGGACAAAAGGGACAAACTGGACAAAAGGACAAAAGGGACAAAAGGGACAAAAGGACAAAAGGACAAAAGGACAAAAAGACAAAATGGACAAAAGGACAAAAGGACAAAATGTACAAAAGTACAAAATTACAAAATTTACAAAATTTACAAAATTACAAAAGACAAAATTTACAAAATACAAAAGACAAAAACAAAAGACAAAATACAATGACAAAATTTACAAAATTTACAAAATTACAAATTTACAAAATTTACAAAATTTACAAAAAAACAAAATTTACAAAATTTACAAAATTACAATTACAAAATTTACAAAATTTACAAAATTTACAAAATTACAAAATTTACAAAATTTACAAAATTACAAAATTTACAAAATTTACAAAATTTACAAAATTACAAATTTACAAAATTTACAAAATTTACAAAATTTACAAAATTTACAAAATTTAACAAATTTACAAATTTACAAAATTTACAAAATTTACAAAATTTACAAAATTTACAAAATTTACAAAATTTACAAAATTTACAAAATTTACAAAATTTACAAAATTTACAAAATTTACAAAATTTACAAAATTTACAAAATTTACAAAATTTACAAAATTTACAAAAGTTACAAAATTACAAAATTTACAAAATTTACAAAATTACAAAATTTACAAAATGTACATGACAAAAATTTACAAAATTTACAAAATTTACAAATTTACAAAATTTACAAAATTTACAAAATTTACAAAATTTACAAAATTTACAAAATTTACAAAATTTACAAAATTTACAAAATTTACAAAATTTACAAAATTTACAAAATTTACAAAATTTACAAAATTTACAAAATTTACAAAATTTACAAAATTTACAAAATTTACAAAATTTACAAAATTTACAAAATTTACAAAATTTACAAAATTTACAAAATTTACAAAATTTACAAAATTTACAAAATTTACAAAATTTACAAAATTTACAAAATTTACAAAATTTACAAAATTTACAAAATTTACAAATTACAAATTTACAAAATTTACAAAATTTACAAAATTTACAAAATTTACAAAATTTACAAAATTACAAATTTACAAATTTACAAAATTTACAAAATTACAAAATTTACAAATTTACAAAATTTACAAAATTTACAAATTTACAAAATTCAGAAATTTACAAAATTTACAAAATTTACAAAATTTACAAAATTACAAAATTTACAAAATTTACAAAATTTACAAATTTACAAAATTTACAAAATTTACAAAATTTACAAAATTTACAAAATTTGCAAAATTTGCAAAATTACAAAATTTACAAAATTTACAAAATTTACAAAATTTACAAATTTACAAATTTACAAAATTTACAAAATTTACAAAATTACAAAATTTACAAAATTTACAAAATTTACAAAATTTACCAAAATTTACAAAATTTACAAAATTTACAAAATTTACAAAATTTCCAAAATTCCTAAAGCTACCAACATTTCCAAAGTCTCCAAAATATCCAAAATTACCAGAATCTCCAGTTCTAGATTATTCAGAATTTCCAAAGCTCCATGCTTATGCGGATTACTGAGTTAAACTACTTCTCTCCATATTTATCCAAGATATATGATGTTTGTAACCAGCACAAAGTAATCCCGCCGATTATGATTATAAGGAAGCGAAAGGATTCGTATTTTTAACTTTAATCATATTGTTGAGTTAGCGGAAAATATATCAGACCTATTTCTTTCCCATTAGAACGTATCCTAAAACTTCAAACTTCGAAGACACATTGCTAATGTCACGGCTTGTTCATTTTCCGAGCGACAAACTTTCCTAGCAGGACATTCTCATTCCCTCCATTGCCCCATGCTGCGACAGTTTTCCACTTTTTCTTCCCGTACTCTGGGAAAAACTGGAGTTGCCGGCCATTAAAAAACCCTCAACTCCCCATCAGAGTTGTATAAACTCTGCGCCGGGGTCAGAAGAGAGCGGAGGGGAAGTACGGAAGTACAATCGAGCGTCAGATTGCTCGAACGAGCTGACCTCGAAATTGTTTCTCTTTTTGTTCTTCTGTTTACTTCTCGTTAATGAAGGATCTGAGAATTTACAAGCTATCAGGTGTTTTTGGTTGGTTAAATTGTGGGCGAAGTATTTATTTTCCAAGGATAGTTTAACTGAGTTCCAGTAAGCATACCAGCGTCGGTTATCTGGTAGTTTGCGATTATTCTACTCAGAATCTTGTACTAACGTATGCCCTGAAAATGTTGTCATAAAAACCGTTGCATTTAATTTTAACAAACAAAATAATATCAAGTTGCCTTTGGAAACAAAATTTTTGTTTACTTGCTTCAAAGCCAGTTAACATTTATTTATTTTGAAGTTTTCACTTTAAGATGTCGAAAGCATTTCACGCAGAACCATTTATCGAACAATAGCGGAGTGCGAGCAGGGAATACCATGTCTGGACCTCCCAAAAAGTGGAAGCATTTACTGCACCGCGGTCAGAAAGATTGGTGAGAAGAGCAAAAAATCAGGTTGGAATGTCAACAAGGAGACTGGCTCGTCAATATAGATCTTTTAAGAGTACGATATCGTTAAGTGGCCCAAGTACTCTCAAACGCAACTCCTTCGTATACCAAGATGCTGACGTCAACCGAGGCGAATGGAAAAATCATTATTTTCGATGACGAAAAGTATTTCTCTTTGAGTAATTTTGAAATGAAGGAAAACGACGGATTTTATACCTACAACGTAAAGGGATGCCCTGACAATGATAGATACAAACATAAAGCGAAATTTGCAGATAAAATCCTTGTCTGGTGCGCAATTTCTAACAGGGGTGTATCATAACCTTTTATGGGTAGAGTGAGTGGTGAGCTATATTGATAATTGCTCCAATTTGTCCACACTTTGTCATTAGCATGATAATGACCAGACCTAGGATCATGCCATTACTAAAAAGATACCCAAAACTGGCTACGACTACACAACATACCTTTTGTTCCCAAAAACGATAATCCTCCAAACTTGCCACAGGCTCGCCTATTGGAGGATTTTTGGGCTTAACTGTCTAGGAAGGTTTATTATGGAGGCTGGGAAGGCCAATATGAAGAACAATTAAGAAGGCGAATTTACGAAAAGCTGAGAGAAATTGATCAGAGTTCCAACCACGTCCTCATGAGAGACATACTATACGAAGAAAGTTGCGTCTGGTAGAGCAGAATGGGCTATTCCACATAATTCGATAGTATAGTTTACAGTATATTCAGATAAGAGATAGACCGGATGTAAACAAAAGGTTCGGGTGATTTTCACGCCAACGCCGCCGTCTCGACGTAAAACAGGAGCCCTCATTGGTCAATTCGCAATTAAACGTCTATGCCGAGCGGCAGAGCAGTCGTATCAAGGCAGAGTCACATTCAGGTTCAGACGTGTTACGTATGTCGTGTGCATCATTGCAATTTGATATTTCTTTTGACGTTTTCGTTTGTCATCTTATTAAGTTGTTGAGTTTGTCGTTGTTATTGTTATACCTTGTTATTGATTGTTATTGTTATCAACTGCTTGCGCAAAATGCCCAGTAGTACAGATACTGCCGATGAAGTTGTAAACTCCTGTAGTCCACCTAGGAAACGCTCTAAAAAAAGACACCTGAGTGCAGAAATGAAAGAGGTCATTTTGAATATACAGGGTTATCCAAATTAAGTGTCCACCATTGGTAACTTTGTTATTAGTAAAAATACAAAGTTGTTTAAATTAGCAAACTAGTAGCATTTTTAACGCTGGTAAAAATGAGAAATAAAAAAAAACAATTGAGAGTCGTTATTTTGATTTTTTTCAGTAAAATAACATTTTTTTAAATGGAAACCCCTGTATATTATATTTTTTTCTGTTAAAGCATCAAATTTTAAACAAAAAAGTTCATAATGACTATTCCGCTAAAGTCAAAAATAAAGTCAAAATAACGATAAATATTTTTAATTATTTGCAGTATTATAATATTAAGACGGCTATGAAAACAACATGGCGTTCCCGATTTGACAGCATTAAGATAAGCGACAAATTGTTAAACTGGACATACTCGCAACTAGAAGGCTTTGGAAAACAATGATAAAATCAAATAATGTCAAACATTAGTGTAAATACTTGTTTATAAGCTTTATTGTGTCATTAATTTAAAGAAAAATGTTCTCCCATGAAGAAAAGTGTGATATGTTAGAATGCTATTTAGTGTGCAGAAAATCCTCCTTGAGAGCAAGAGAATACTACAGTGAATTATACTAAGTGACATATAAATCCGAACACCCAGTTTAAATGGTTTTGTTTTAATAAAAGTTGGTGGATGTATTTATCTTACTGTAAATAACAAGTGAAAAACTTTTCAGCCTTATCAGTTGGACATTCCGGTTTTTATACTGTTTTTTTTTAATTCACTAACGCTCTAAAAATGAATATTTCAGCCGCAGTAAAGAATCAACGTTGGCGGATTTTGGTTCTTGACATCCTTTACGATCGGTTACGATGCCTAGAGTACGGAGACATGTACGATTTCGTCAAATTAGTGAGTTTGATAGGGGCCGTATAGTGCGACTTCGGGAAGCTGGACTTTCTTTTCGGGCAATTGCAGTTAGAGTGCAAAGAAGTGTAGACACTGTGGTTAGGTGTTGTCAGGCATGGCCGCGAGAAGGCCGTACGCAAAGAGCAAGGGGCACTGGACGCCGCCGTAGAGCAACAGACCGTGAAGATCGCCGCCTAAGATTATTGGCTTTAAGGGACCGTT